TTTATTACAGTACTTATTTGTTAAATGGTCTTTTGACTTGAGGTTGAATATATGTGTTTATCTTCTGGATACCATTCTATAAAAATCAGCCTTTGATCACAATTTCCCGATAGGTAGATGCTTGCAAGCCTTAAGGCTACGTCCAAAATTGTTCTGCTCATTACAAAATGCTGTGTGGAGATGTGCCATGATAGCTTCATTATATCATCAGATGATGAATCTGTAGGAATTGAGAAACAAAGGGCTTGTATGTTTGCTTGAGGTAATGAATCTTGCTTTTGATTTTAGAAGAATGTGAAATAACTTCAGAGTCTGTATGGATCAGCCACTGGTTACAAAAACATCAGCAGGTTGTAAATTATTCTTATTATAGTGGAGAAAGTAAAGCCTCTTTGTCAGCTCTTGTGCTTCATTGGAAAATGGAAAAGGAGAACAATTGGGGATAATAATACATTGAGAAATGGCAGCAAGAACTGATTGCTGTAAATGAATTTCTTTCAGGAAAACCACAACAATCTCTAGATATTGAAATTGTGGGTTTAACTCTTAGACATCTAAAGTAAACACTGCCTCATTGAATGATCAATTGTTGCAGATTTGTGCCTGTATTGAGATGGCGGTATTATTTAAGCACACAAGATTCTATGGGATTTCAATGTATTTCCTGTTACGACAAATATCTTAAAATCAGTTTTATGAAAGAACTTCAGATGGATTATAAGGACAAATGAGAACATAGCCACCAGAGAGCATGAACTGTGTTTTTGTTGCGGCGAAATGCTAAACTTGCAACTCCATACATTTTACTTCAGAATACTGACAAAAATTTTCAATCTGTCAGAGGGGATTTTGGAGGTCTTCTAGTCCAACCCCTGCTCAAGGAGGAAACCCTATACCATTTCAGACAGGTGGCTGTCCAGTCTTTTCTTAAAAACCTCAAGTGATGAAGCACCTACAACTTCTGAAGGGAATCTGTTCCACTGGTTAATTGTCCTCACTGTTAGGGAGTTTCTCCTTAATTCTAGGTTGCTTCTCTCCTTGATTAGTTTCCATCCATTGCTTCTTGACTTGCCTTTTGGTGCTTTGGAAAATAAGTTGATCCCCTCTTCCTTCTGGCATCTCCTCAAATACTGGAATATTGCTATCATGTCACTCCTAGTCCTTCTTTTCTCTAAACCGGCCATACCCAATTCCTGCAACCGTTCTTCATATGTTTTGGTCTCCAGGCTTTTAATCATCTTAGTTGCTCTTCTTTGCACTTTTCCTCTCAAAGTCTCAACATCTTTTTTGGAATGTGGTGACCAAAACTGGATACAATATTCTAGGCATGGCATTACTAAGCATTTATAAAGCATTACTAATACTTGATTTTGATTCTATGCCTCTCTTTATACAACCAAGGATTGTATTAGCTTTTTTGGCTGCCGCCGCACACTACCAACTCATACTTAAGTGATTGTCCACTAGTACTCCAAGGTCCCTCTCATAGTTACTATTTTTGAGCCAGGTTTTGCCTAATCTGTACTTGTACCTTTGATTTTTCCTGCCTAGATGTAAAACCTTGCTTTTCTCCACATTAAATTTTATGTTGTTGGATAGGACCCATTATTCAAGTCTGTGAGGATCTTTTTGGATCCTAAGCTTGACTTCTGGGGTGTTGGCTTTTCCTGCCAGCTTAATGTCATCTTCAAATTTGATGAGTTCCACTTCTATTCCTCATCAGAGTCATTTATGAAGATATTGAAGAGTACTGGGCCTAAGATCGAACCTTCTGGTGCCCCACCACTTACTTCCCTCCATGTAGATGTAGTACCATTAAGGACTATTTATTGAGTACAGTTTGTCAGCCAGTTTTGTCAAACTGACTGTCAAAAAGCACGGTTGCATCTAGTGCTTTAGTTTCTACATAGATGGCTTGATTGACTGATTGCAGAAGGGTGTTAGTTGGGACACAGAGAAACACATTCTGGCTTCAGAGTGGCTTTCACTTGGCAACCAGACTGTACCAGCACGGTTTGCCTTTTAGTACCAGACCTAGTTTACTTGTGTATTTGGAGCTTAACTGCAATGGCCTGCCAGTGCTCTGCTGTATTTTCCTTCAAGAAAAATCTGTGCTTCCCTAAATCTCATTGCTGGTTGCTGTTTTTAATTTTTAAAGCTTTTATTCATTTATTCATTTTTATTCGAAGGAAGGAAGGAAGGAAATGACAGAATGATAGGAAGGGAGGGAAGTTTTCTGATGCCCTCTGCCAACTTCCCACAAGAAAACTCATTGGGGAAGCCAGGAGGAAGTCGGAAGTTTCTCTGGCTCCCACTGTTTGTCTTTTGCCCAGTAGTAGTCATTCTGTTTTTCTGTTGAGGTAAGGAAATATCTCAGGAATGTTGACCCAATTAGGCAAGAGTTGTCTAGTGCAGGGGTAGTCAACCTTGGCTCTTTTATGACTCGTGGACTTCAACTCCCAGAATTCCTGAGCCAGCTAAGCTGGCTCAGGAATTCTGGGAATTGAAGTCCACGAGTCATAAAAGAGCCAAGGTTGACTACCCCTGGTCTAGTGGTAATTTAAAGTGCTACAGTGTGTCTAAACCTAGTGATCACCTTGTTAACACAAATTAAATTGGTTAGATTTTTACAAGTTAATGAATTGAGCTTCTTATATCAACCCAACCAGGGCATTCTACCAGTGAAATATATTGTTTAGTGAATTCAAAGACAGAAACTGTCTGCAGGCCAAATTACTATGGTGTGTTTTTTTAAAAAACAACAACAAAACAAAACCACTGCGAGAAGCTATTAAGGGGAGGTTAAAAAAGAGAAAACGAAGAGAAGCCATAGTGTTGTATTGGCGAAGTGAAAGAAAAGAAGTGAAAGATAAATAAGAATAATTTAAGCTTTTAAAACACATATGAGTAAAAATAACCAGTACATGCAGAGAGAAATTGATAGAAATAATTAGCTTCGTTACTCAATTTTAAAATCTCCTTAGTAGTTTTGCATACCATACCAGAGACACAGGCATTTTCAGATCATCTGAAGCATTTGAGTTTTTCCAATCCCTCAATATTTTCATTTGTGGTATTGAGGGACCTCTAGTGGAGTCCTGGGGAAAATATTTGGGGGGGGTGGTTAACAAAAATGTAGTGTGCTTCTGTAAAGCAGTCAAATCACCATTCCTATAGCTTCTAACCTTTTAAAGATATAATGTACAATATCTAAGTAGATTATTTAGTAACACTTGAAGAGAAAAAAAAATTATGCTAAATATACCAGTTGTAAATGTACATAAAGAGTGGGATTTCTGTTGCGATTGTTTAAAAAATTTTCTTTTCAAATAGGTATGTAGGTGTATTATAAAGATTTTCAATAACACATATTCTTTAGATTCTTGTGGGTTAATGTAATGTTTTCAATCCCTGCCTTGACTTCCTTTATAGTGGCTTAAAAGCATTAATCATATGTATGTTACTGTTTATATAAAAACTGAAATTTTGCGACTGTGCTTCAGGCCATCTCCTTATTTAGAGATATTATATTTGCTACTTTTTGGGTAGGCCTGTGTGTGTGTGTCAGTTGACATTGGCATGAAGGAATAAAATTTCCCTTCCCTTTAAAAATTTGCCGCTTTCTCCATGTTGCTTAACGATTTATTTTCTTTCTTGCAGGTACAGGAGAGAGTGGGAAAAGTACATTTATCAAGCAGATGAAAATAATTCATGGATCAGGCTTTTCAGAAGAAGAGCGAAAAAACTACACAAAACTGGTTTATCAAAACATATATTCTGCTATGCAAGCTATGGTGAGCGCTATGGATGCTTTACAAATACCATACTCATCTGAACAAAGCAAGGTATATTATTGCGCATAAATTGAAATTACTTGTATAAGTCAGATTAAGTAAAAAAGTACTGATAGTTTTTTTTATATACTGGCCATGTAAGAATTTTGGTCTGTCCAATATTCAGTAAGCCTTCATGGTGTAGTAGCTTCATTGCATTTTTGTCACTGTCCTTCTGATATTCTTCCAATGTCCTTTTTTATTCTTCAACTCTCTGCCCACCTGTTTTCCTTGGTAAGTAGAATCTGATATTGTCATTGTGTGGATGAAGAGTATGCTTCATAGTCTTTTTGTTTCTGGTCTTTCTAGCCAGGCCTTTTAATTTTGCTTGAACTTAATCCACTACTCCAGCTGTGTATCTAATGACTGGAACTGCCCAGGTTCTAATTGCCTTGATATTATTTCTGCCACTGTGTTGGACTTTAAGATCTCCTTCACTCTGATGATTCATTTTAGCCTTCTTGACTTCAGTATGCTTGATGTTGTCAGGTATTTGTAGCTATTGTCTTCATCCAGACACTTCATGTTATTTCCATAAGGTATC